CCTTATACAATATATCTGTGCTGGGGTGAGACACACTTTGCTCAAATGCATGAAAAATATCCCTTTTAATCTGATTCCATAATTCCAGCAGCCTACATTTGGGGACTACTTTTCTGAGAAGCAATGCACATCCGTTTGTAAGTTTCACCTCAGATCCTCTGCTCCCGGGAGTTTAACAAAATCCTGCACGTTGCAATCAGCGAAATGAAAATATTAACACAATTCCGAAGAAATCATCGCTCCGCCGCCATAGTTCCGTGCTGACAATAAAAGATGGATTCATCAAAAAAAAAAGCGCAAAAAACATTCTCCTCCCTCAACAACAAAGCCTGCGGAATAACTCGGCGGATGAAAAGCAACGCAGCTATATTTCATTTTGACATATCGTAGCGTCTGATTTGCCGAGAGTGGTTGGTGTGTCTGTATGTCTAAATGCGCGTATGCCTTCTGTTCCTATCAATACTGAGCAGTGGAGTGGGCCCTGTGACGTGACTGAATTGTACTGTCAAAACGTCTGGAATAAACATGCAACATAGAACAGCCCTGCGTCTCATTCCACACACTCTGAGACGTGCTTTGCAGACGGAGCGCAGCGGTAAATGACATAAACTCTATCCAAAGACTAGTCAGTCATACGCTGGAGTAGTAATATTTTTTTTGTTTAGTGGGAAAATTGGTTTGACATGGTTTGAAGCTGAGACAAAATTTGAAGCTATTATTTGGAGATGCAGAGTTGTAAATGGCCAATTAGCAGCACATCGATTAGCAATGAGACACTTGTCATCTTCTAATGACATTATAATTACCGGGCTCTTATTTTGAAATTATGTTTGCATAGGAATTTTTATGTGTGTGACTGGAGCTTGATGGCAATGGCAATAAGTTGAGCTTTTGTGCTGGTTGTCACACCGTCAATCACTTTATTTGTTCCCGAAGAGCAATTTAAGCACATTGAGCAGAAAAATCCTAGCCCGATTCATAAGTCAGTTTCACTTCGTGAAAACCGTCTGACCTCGCAGCATTAAAATTTGTTCGCTCAACGGTATGCAGGTACTTTTTTATTTAACCAATCACTGCTATTTGGTCATGGCGTATGTAATGCACTGCTAACAGGGCTAACTGATATATCAAGCTTTTCCCAAATCCCATAGGAAGAAGGGAAATAACATCATAACATAAACAATGATTACTTTTTGCTTAACAAAACTTTTGGCGCATGAGCTGCCTAAAACTCCATTTATCTCACTTTACACGCAAACGCAAAACTGTAGTTTTCCAGAATCTTCACTCTAGCCTGAGTTTTTAGAAAGATTTGTTTTCAGAGGCAAATTCACCGTTTTGTGTGTAAAAAATGAGTACAAATGAAGCTCAATGTCTCTGTTTTTTAAAAATACCCATGTATATGTGTAAATGGGGCTATAGAGGACACAGATTGGGACAGTTTTATCCTGATGGCTGTTACTCTCCTCATAATGCATTTGTTTGAACTTTTCTATTATTGTTGGATTTTACTAGCCAGGTTGGCACCTCATTTCTCTCCAGCGAGCAGGTCAGGAATCAGAATACACTATAGACGGATTGCAAGAACCCCGGAAGTCAATCAGCGAAGAGCCATACATTCTGTGTTGGTGACAATTCCTGAGATCGATGATTTAAAGCCGGAACAAAGAGAATGTTTGCTGAATTTTTATTGCCCTTCTTCCTATGGGATTTGGGAAAAGCTTAATATACAAGTTAGCCCTTTTAGCAGCGCATTACATACGTCAAGACCAAATAGCAGCGATTGGTTAAATTTAAAAATGTACACACTTACTGTCGAGTGAACGAATCTTAATGCTGCGAGGTTTCCACGAAGTGAAACCGGCTGATGAGTCAGGCTAGTTTTTGCTTTCAACTCGAATTAAAGGCATTTAAGGATCAGAGTTAATTTTTGGTCTTTTCTGCAACATGAAACTGAATTTGTTCAAATAATATATTTCTACTTTTTAGCATTGGTACTGCGTGTAGAGTCATTTAGAATAATGAACTTGTCAGAAAAATAACATTTATATTTTTAAATGTCCTCTGTTGCACAAAATTGAGCTTGATGTCTTTATAATGTTACCTGTTGTGTTTTGTTTCATTCACACATGTTTGCGTGACCCTTTATAATGAGTCTGTCTCCATCTCCAAAGCTCAAAATGCTCTGTATTCATCCTGTGATGTCATGAAGCGGTAGTTTTCGACTCAACAGCTACCTTTTACCTTCTGTTTGGTAACTATTATCAGTTCCAGAGCTGAATTTATCCAAATTATCCCAGTGAAGGTGGATGGAGTTTAAAAACACAGTGGAACACTTATTACCACTTGACATCAGAAGGGTTGAACAGAGTGTTTTCTGTTTGAGAGAAGAACTCAGCCAAAATATGCAGGGTTTGTGATGAGATAAATGGGGTAATATGAGCCCTTTAAGAGAGTGCAAAGGCCTCTGGCAAATTTCAGAGTGAACTGTATAAACTTAAACAGAATATAGATACCATATTTTCTAGACTATAAGTCACACTTTTTGTCATGGTTTAGGTGGTCCTGCGACTGAAATATTAAAGTTTTCACACTGACAGCTGTGAGGGCGCTGTAGGCTTGTGTGTTAGTATCTGCTGCTCCTGTACTACTGTAACTTCACTCTACTGTGCATGCCTCCTGCAGAAAAAGCCGCTGTCCTGCAGCAAGTAGTGAAATCTGCAGCCAAAAACGATAATCGAGCAGCAGAAAGAAAGTTTGGAGTGAGCGAGAAACTTGTGAGGGAGTGGCAGAAAGCGGGGATGGAGAACACAGCTTCACAGCAACCAGGCAAGTGCACCATGCAACTTTCCTGGAAGTCACTGGATGGTAAAAAAGCCTGGACTTCAGTGACGACTGAAACCATCCTGTCGGAATCAGAAAGGCTGGAATGATGCTGAGTCTGACAACAGACAGAAGCGGCACTCCGTTTACCTACAGAGGTTGCGGAGTTGCTCAGAAGTGACACCGAGGATGAAGAACTCAATGGATTTAGTGATTTGGAGTGAAATCAAGAGTTTGGTAAACTTGTTCTGTTACGTTGTTTATGCTTTAGTTACCTGAAGAACTCAATATGTTGCGTTAACTTTCCAGGTGCCTATTCATCCTGTTGTTCTCTGTTCTATTGTTGTTACTATAACTTGCCTTTCAAGATGAAATGTCGGTTCCTGGTGTCTGATTTTATAAAATAAATTTCCCCAAAAAGTGTGACTTGTTATTTTTTTCTTCATTACGCATCTTTTGTCTGGTGCAATTTATACTCTGGACTTATAGTTTGAAAAAAATACAGTACTTTATTTTCACTCAAATATCTACAAACAAAATAAAATAGTTTAGTTTTGATGCACATACATACACTATATAAGTTCAAAAAAGTCTGTGTAGCATAATCTAGATAAAAATCCTCACCTCTCCTTGAAAAACACTACTTGAAAGTGACATCTTTTTGTGTGAGCAGTGCTACGCTGCTGTCTCTCCCATACGTGTGGTGGTCAGGCTTGGCCAGTGGAGCGTGCCCGGGCTGCCTGCATAACAACAGCCACCACCAGGAAGTGTTGGGCGAGATAAAGGGATTTGTAAGGCTGTGTAAGTACAGACGAGGAGTCTGGAGAACGATCAATAATTCATTTACTTGCACCAGTCAAGGGCAATTAAGGTGCTTTTTTAGCCATTAGCCAGTAGAAAGGGGCGGCTCCGTGGCTGGGGGCCCCTAATCTCACAGAGCATTGTCACAGAGCAGGATTACACG